GGCTGGGGCAGTGCTGGAGGGCTCAGCTGAGCCAGAGCTGCTGCTGTGAGAAGGGGGACTTGCTCTTCATCTTCTGCTAAAGGCTTCTGTCTCTCTGTTCAGCACCAGTAGGATCACTGTACCTGACTTCACAGTTTTCCCTCTAGGTATGTCATGGTTCTGTGCTTTTTTATGTCTGCCTTCCCTGCAGGGTGAAAAGTACCCTCTCACTCATGTGATAGCAAAATTTACTTTTGCCTATGCATCTGAGAGTTTTTTAAGCTGATTCTGATTTTTTTCCTTTTACATCTCTGAAGTATCAATTGTCCCATCTGAAAGAGGTGGCAGGTGTCCAGGGTAATAAGAGCGTTAACATCTGCATGGTCATGATGAGGAATGCTTTTACTGCTAGGTGTCTTGTTAAGTAGCAACTAGTCTTTGTGATCTGGACTAATTGTTAGCAGTACAGGAGGAAACCAGCTCTGTCTGGCTTTCATCACATAAAATCATCCCACTAATCCCACTTGCTTTTGATAGAATCTTTTTATAGCTGAAGAGCTATTGAAACAGAGTTCAGAAGGGAGTTCTCAGAAGCAAATTGTTCCTGTGGTTTCTTTCTGTAGGTCCCATAGTAAGATAGTTTGATTTCTACTCCAGCAATTTGATTGCTTGCATCTAGGTTTTTTTTGTCATCTTTATCTGTCTAAGGAAATCTGTTTCACTGTGCATGACATTACCTGACTTTATTTGTGACTTCTGTTATCCCTTGTGGACTACAACATTTGAAGTTGATTCCTATAAAATAATGCAGTGTGTCTGTTCAGCAGTACAAATACTTGCAGGAATATGAGATCTTCTGTCTTCTGTTTTAAATCAATTTCACAGTCTTGATCCTTATTATTTAAGGTGTCCCCAGACCCAGGATTTCTTAAGGGGGTTGGCTAATACTCTGGTGAAAGCTGTTGTCAGTAACAGCAGGCTTTTAGCACACCTCACAGTCAGGATAAAACTCATAATTCAATATACATGAAAACTGTAATTTTTAAGCATTATGCAGGAACAAATAGCAGTAATAACTACAGGAGAGTATTCTACACCTGCTTCATACTTTGAATAAGTTTTTCCAAGTATGTTATCTGTTAACTACTGAAAAAGTAATAATATCATATAAGCAAGCTTGATAAGTAATTAAGCAGAGAAGGTAATGGAGCAACTTATGTTGCATAACTTAAGTGATTTTTTTATGAATCAGTTAGCAACTAGCTAGTAAATAACACTATTCACCCCTGGAGAGGAAATTCAAATTGATATTACAGATGTCAAAAAGCTTGGAGGAATGGGCAACAGAAGAGTCCAGATTTGAGTGGCAAGAACAATGATTAAACTCCAACAGATCAAATTGAAATACAATTTAATATGTTCCATAGGGTGGATTCCTAATAATCCTCAGCAGTTTAATACTGACATGTTAACGATTCTTGCCCTGTGTCAGCATCTGGAATGCCAATGACAGCTGAGGCTCATGGACACATAAATCTGAAGGCTAAATAAGTGATACCTGAACTCTCAGTGAAAAGAGCTGGAGTAAACATGAACTGTACATAGCACCTGGAAAAGGACTTCTGTGTGAAGACCAAAGCTGACAAAAATAATAATAGACAAATAATCTTCCCCTGTAACCTGTAAATGATGATAGTAAAGCTGTGGGAAGCTTGATGAGTTGTCAAACTTATATCAACTGAAAGTGCTTGTTCAGTGTTTGAAATGGTAGATTTTCAGTATCTAAACCATACACACACTTGTTATTTCCAGCTTACCTGGTGAATGTTCAAATTGAAAGTCCATCAAAACATGAACATATACCCTAAAACCTTCCAAAGGTAAAGTCTTGGAAATATTAGATGTGATGAATGGAGTAACTTAATACTTGGTAATTAAGCTTCAATGAGTGAAAAGTTGGCCAACATAAGATAACCTATGGAAAGACTGTTACTCCTGAATTTTCGGCATGTAAGGGGAAATACTAAATGCAATTGGGATCTGGGAATAAGCCAAAATCCTTCACAGGTCAAATGGAGAGGTATGGTTTAGATTCCAGTCCAAATAGATGTAATATGCAGCAAAATTTGTATCTGTCATGGGATACATACACTAGCTGAATTTGGGGACACCTGTCTTGTAAAGGAAACTGAAATTCAGCTGATTTGCACCAGTTCCAAAGCAAAGTTTGTGTTGCATGTGTAGTCTCAGCTTGAAAGATAAAATGATAATTGCAGAGCTGAAAACATCAGAGGTTCAACAGAGAGAAAACTGAACTCAGCTGGCACTGAGGCAGCAGCTCATGGTACCTGTCTTTGCTGGCAATTCATTCTGCTCTGTTTTATTCAGGGAATCTTTTCTGCTGTCTTTTTCTTCCCTTCATGTCCTTATGAGCAGGCTGTGAATCTCAGAAAGACCGAGTTTAAAGATAGCAAAGTGGCTTAGAGACAGTTTTCTGGAATACACAAAGGTAGGGCAGGCCTTGTCATATTTACAATGAATCCACTGCGTCATTGCAGGAAGCTCTAAAAGCTGCTTGTTTGCATGGCAAATTCTTCTCCTTCTTTTGCAAATAATCTATTATAATCCAATTTATATAACATGGTTTCTATTTAAGAGATGCATAGCAGGACACCACTAAGGATCCATTCTGTTCAGCAGTCAATGGTTTCTGTTCCTCTCAGCCTTTTAAATTATTAGTGCTGTAGAGACACTGCTAAAGATGAACACAAACATTTTAATTTTTATTATTTTAGAATATAATTTTTTTTAAGGAAGGCAATGTCTATTAATGGATCATGTTTTTCAAGGAAGATCCCTTCTATTGTTTCAAAATTGGGATCACAGAGGTCCCAGAACTGTTAGTGCCACTTAAAATTTTCTGTTCATATTACAGTATTCTGACATTTTTCTTTGAACAATTAAAACTTTATCATACTGCAACAGTAGAAGCTGGAGTTTTCTGTGCCAGATGTCTACCTCTGGATAAAGGTTTTGCTTAATTAGAGTTGGGATTTCATTGTTCAGAGAGTTTTCATTTGAACTTAATCATCCCAGAAAATGAGGCTTAATTTGTAGGGAAAATAGACCACTTTGCCTTGTTAAGTCTTGCTGTCATTTCCTTAAGGAGATCCAGCACCAGCCTATTTTTACAGCAAACTGCTGCAATTTCGTGGGCAGAAAGGTGGGTGGGAGGAACCAAACACAGCAGACTAGGAGCAGATGGTACCAAGGTCTTTTAACTATTGAGGTGCTCACTTATGAATTTTGTCATAGAACAAAAATCCTGAATCTTAATATTTAATTCTTCTCACAGCAAATGGCTTTACAATCCTCTGGCAGGTTTGCTCTCTAGTGCTGCTCTGAGTAGGGAATAATTGTTTTTGTTAACATTAGGTAGCTGAAACAGCAGAAGTCTGTGCTGTGGCTCAGGAGGCCTAAATGACTCCTATTGTGGCTAAATCCCACAAATCCCACACAGAGGGATTCCTGGCTTTGTAAGTGATGTATTTTTTATTTTTGGTCTGAGCAGCACACTGCCACACACTAAGGTGTTAAATGGATGTTAACATCTGAGGTCCCAGGTTCAGAGAGCAGGGAACACAGGGAACCCATCCCACACAGTATCGAGTTTGATTCAGTGTCTTGCCTGTTCTCATTTTAAGTTTGATTTGAGTGGTTCAGACTATTGGATTCAATTTCTGCCTTTTTAATAAAGTCCTCACGATCAAAAAGAAAAAAAATAAATTTATATCTAGTATTTATAAAACATTTTCAGCAATTAAAAATATTATATAATTATTTGAGTACTACATTTTAAGATTTTTTTTTTGTGGTACCTGAATTTGGGGCTGTAGGCTGCTACCTAAAAGGAGCTACAAGAGAGCTGGAGAGGGACTTTGCAAGTGCCTGTAGTGATAGGACAAGGAGGAAAGGCTTTAAACTGACAGGAGGTAGGTTTAGATGAGATATTAGGAAGAAGTTTTTTTTCTCTGTCTGTGGTGGGGCACTAGAAAAGGTTGCCCAGAGAAGTCAGGGATGCCTGGAAGTATTCAAGGTTTGGTTGGTCCAGTGGAAGGTGTCTTCATAGTAGGAGGGTTGGAACCACATGATCCTTAAGGTCCCTTTTAACCCAAGCCATTCTATAATTCTGTGGTCATTTTATATAACAAAGATGCTAAATAATTAAAGAATCTTAATCTTAGGTGAAGCCTGACTTGTTATCTGAAGTCTAGATGTTTGGTATGAGGAAGCTCCTTGTTCTGGGTGGGGAGAAAGGCTGTTTATTTGCTTACAAACAGAACAAAATTTGAAACAATCACTTTTTACTCTAAAAAAATTCAAAACTGCTAAGATTAGTGTTATTTTATTCCTGAGACAGAGATTTCATTATACATGGGGAGGTTGAATCAAGCAGCTCTCTGTCCTCTGGACTATCAGTAATAATTTTTGCTGCAGTCCCAGGACTTAGGAGATGTCTTTGCTGATCTTTGGCAGTCAAACTGTTGCCTTTCATTTGGGGCTGAATGCCTGTCCACTTGTGTGCTCCATCATCTGGACCTGTGTGGGTCATTCTGTTCTTTTATTCAGTATTGAGAAACTAATATATAGAAGATAATTCATTTGGTTCTTTCCCCCCTATCCTTGTGGTATTTTTAGGCCAGAAAATTAGGGTTTAACAAGGAAAGAAAATAAAATTTGAGTATCAGCTGTGGTGTATTATGGTGATAGTAATAGGAATGTATAGCATAGTTTATATTATTTTAATGAGCTAGGAATGATTTAAAAATAACAAAATATAGAAGGTTACTTTAAGCCAGTTTGAACTCCACATATGAGCAAAGCCAGCAAAAGAATAACAGCTTCACCATATTTATTGTGTCTTTAATGTAGGTGCTTTGTGGTAAGCTAATAATGAATTCTTCAATTGCCCAAATGATTAAATTTTTTAATAGTCCTTCATTTTTGTTGTTTTCATGCAGGTTACCCTGAAAGCCAAACAGGTGAAGGATTCTGTTACATATACACCAGGTGTGTGCTTCTGAAAATGACTGGGTTTGGGTGATAGCTGTGCCTTTCAGAGTCTGCCCTGCAGAGAGATTTTTGTAACCTTGCCTTGCTTTGAGAAAAAATAACTGCTGGGTATTCTGAGGGAACATTTCCCTTCAGCCCTCCTGGGCTTTAGTATTCCATTTATTGTGGGGTTTGGTCATTTGTTCAGGTTGCTCTCTTTGTTTGTATCAGTGTGGGAATTTAGTAGCAATTCCTGTAGATCAGACAAGCTCCTAATTGGCAAAGTTCATCATCTTGATGATCAAGTGATTGATCAATTTTGTTTTCTCAGTTTTTTCTTAAGCTGTCAGTTCAGAAGAGCTTTATGTCCACTCTGCACTATTCTGAGAACCTTTAATTTGTGGGCAGTTCCCTGCTTGTTTGTGGGCTGTTTTACTTTTTCAGAAATGTAACAGCAGTGCTTCTAACAGGTATCATTAGGCTCTCGGAGCTTAAAACGCTGGCACACAATTCCAAAAATTTGAAAGTCAACATGAATCTGCCGGACCACATAATCACCGAGCGAGAGAGGGAGGAGGAAGTGGAGGAGGAGGGCAACTACAATCTTGTGTCAGAGCAGATGGATACCCAGACAGATCCAAAGGAGACCATAGCAAATGAAACTAGACACCGAAGACGAAAAGTTGTCAAAGCACCTGAAACGGCTCTGCTGGCAACAAAAGAGGTACCAGAAGAGAAGGGCAGAGGGAGGCGTCAGAAAGATTTTGATAACACTGAGCAAGCGGAAGAGAGTGATGATGAAGGCAGAAGAAGGGAGAAGAGCCGTGCACCAGAAGAACTGTGGACTCAAAATCAACAGAAACTTCTTGAAATGGCCTTGCAGCAGTATCCAAAGGGAACATCAGACCGCTGGGATAAAATAGCAAAATGCGTTCCTGGAAGAAGCAAGGTATGACTTGTTTTCACTGAACTACAGTATCAACTGAGGGGAAATACATTTGCTAGCAATTTTTAATTACCTTAACAATGATGGTCCATGTAGAAAGGTGAGGCCTTTACTTGGCCTCTCAGTCCAGACTCAGGTGACCTAAAAAGTGTCACTGTCACATTTGTTGCTTTATTTAAAACATTTTTTCATTTATGTTAGCTTGTTTGAGCTAATGCAGAAAATGTTGAAATAACTCCTGTTTCATTTAAAATAACTACCTCTCCTCTGCCTTTCAGTTCTTGAATTGCAGGACAAAATTAGATTTTAAAACTAATTTTGATTCAAAGTTAGTAACCAAACATTGATAAGCTGCTTTGCTTACACTTTCACAATACCTTTCTCAACCCATCTTAATGAACAAACAAAATACATAATCTGCAAGTGTTAAATGCCCTATAATCTATCTAACATTCTTTTTGTACGTATAATTTTTAAAAATAATGTTAAAAGTCATTGATATAGATGGTGTGTACTAGAGTTCCTAATAGTTGTGATAGCTTGGTTTGCTTGCTTCAGCCATTGTGGCTGCAGAAAAGCCCCATCATATTTGTACCAAACCCAGTGGGGAGGCAGCAAGTGCGTGGGGAGGGATTTGGGTGTCTTGGCCAGAAGCTGCTCTGCAGTTTCTGGTGTCAGCAGGTGCTGCATTGGTGACCTGGAAGGCTCAGCTTAACCTGCCTGCAGTGTGGCTCCCAGCAGAGGAACTCTTCTAAGCAGGCACTGCAGTACAGCTGTTCAGAATTGCTCTTGCAGTCACTGTCAAGGAGTACTGGTAACTGTTTCTTGGGTTTGTGTGCTCTTCAAACAGATAAATGAGCCATGAAGAAATGTAAATTGCAAGTTTATTTTTCTAATCCCCTCTTCACTAGATGTAGATTCCCCTTCTCAAATTCAGTGTGCAACTTCAAAACAAGAAAACAACCAACCAACCAAGAAAAAACCCAACAAAAACCCCACAACAAAAAAAACCCACAAACAAAACCAGACACAAAAAAACCCTACACAACCACCAGAACACAGCTCTTCTCCTAGAATAAAGTATAGAGTTAAAGTGGTACTAAAATATCAACCTTTGAATAACACTTTTGTGTTTCCTTTCAGGAGGAGTGTATAGCAAGATACAAGTTGCTTGTTGAACTGGTACAAAAGAAAAAAATGGCTAAAAGCTGAATGTTGTGAGCAAGAAGAGACGTAGTTCATCTTTGTCAAAATGGGGTTTTAAATCTCATATGCAGAAAACTGCATTTTTGTACCTCAGTATTTCTATATGTCATGTGCCTTAGTAAAAGAAAATATTAATAAATCTTATACCATCTTACCTGGTTTGTGTGTTGAAGAATGAAGGTGTGTTTGTATTGAAGAGCTGCTTATGCAGATGTGTGATTACAGTGTCTAAAAGTGAGCAGAGCTTCAGGAAAAACCCCTCTGGTATCACACACTGAATCTGGTAGGTTTGCAGCCAGTGGATATACAAATAACTCACATTTGTTTTGAAAGATAGAATTGACCTGAAACTGTTAAGCAAGCATGAGAGTAATGAAACACTCTACTCAAAATATATTTTTCTTTCTTGCACCTCTCAATCCAAGACCATATGCTTATAAATACCTTATTCTTATAAATATCTAGTAATATTTTGAAATAAGTAGTATTTCTAATATTAACTTCTACATATATTTATATGCACCTGCAATATAATACCTTATTTTGCCAACCCTGCAGTGATATTTGATAGCATGTTTGATTCAGTAAAGTTGAAATGGGTAAAAATACTAAAGGCACTAAATGGGTAAAACACTAAATGTTTTAATTAGAAATTAAGAGATAAGGTACTTCAGGACCACTTTTTAAGTACAGAATGGCTAACATTCTTGGGCTAAGAGTTCTCATTTTGGGGATGGTTGTGTACCCCAGATTCAATTTGAAGAATAGGTAATAAGGGTTATATTATTCCATACTTGTAATTTTGTTTTGTATAACTTTTCCAAAATTGTGAAAAGCTTAAAATGCTGTAACAAAGGATATTTAATGGGTTGTAAATGACAGCAATAAATCAGAGCAGTGATCAGAGTCTATTGCAAGAAACATTAAGGACTTGCATTTTTATAGCATTATTTACCATTCAAATTGTGATTTAATACCAGGATTCTAAAGTTTTTTGAGCTTTAATGCAAAATCAGAATTAAAACTCACAAAATCATGTACCTGAACTCAAAATTGAAACTCGATGGCTGAAAGTCTCTGTTGACTTCCTGCCATTTCCACTGCTGATTTCCTCAGTCATTGCCAATTGTGCTCCTTCTGTCGGATCAGCACTTCACAACATTTCATCCCATCCCCATAAAACTTTAAAGGCTAAGTATTTAGGGAATATAACAGTGTTCCATATGTGTTTTTCTTCCAATTGGAGCTTTTTTTTTGTCTCATATTAAAAAAATCTTAGATGGTAGAAATAATGATGTTATGGAAACAGAGCCAGATACAAAATAATGCACTGATTTTTTTTTTCACAGAGAACTTCACAGCTTAACTGCACTGGAAGTTAAACACATTTAGAAGCTGTGATCTGGGTGCTAATCTGTGGAACAGGAATTCTGTGCTACTTTGAAGGAAGAATCTTAGTGAGATCAAGTGAGGTATTTTCAAGAGGTATCAAGAAAGCGTAACTTTTCAAAAGCTTTTGGTCATCCAGAACACTCAATGAGATGACTAAATGTAAAGCAAGGTAGTTGAAATGGCTGCAAAGAAAAGCTGCTAAAATGGTGAAGTGAATTGGTGAAAATTAATGGGTGGAGCTGGGGTAGAATATGAGCAAAATGGAGATGTACTGTTCATGAAAAAAATAGAATTGCAATGGGAATATTTCTGCAGTTTCTACAAGGGAAGGCAAGCAAGGGAAGAGTTTAGCCTGTGAGGAGGAGAGAATCATCTTTCTTTTCCACTCTGGATTTACAAGACTTTACCTGGGATGGTGTGCCTGGTTCAGTGAATCACACTGTGAGATGTAGAGCATCCAGAAGAGAGCAGAGACAATGATCCAGTGCTTGCATTGTCTGGTTTGCTAGCAAGGCATTGTTGGTATTTGCTCTAGACTAGAGGGAGAGAAAAATCTTCCAGATATGTAAAAGAGAGCTTTGCAGTTGTGTGATCCATATGGAACAAATCTGCTGTGGCTGTGAAGAATAACAACGGGCCCAGTTTGGAGTGAGAAACGGCTTAGTTAGGTGTCAGGGCAAAAAAATCCAGTGGCAACTGTAACAAGGACTTGGGAGGACTCCTGACACTGGAGGTGAGTGCCTGCTCGAGCCTGCCCACATCCCCAGGGTGTGGGGCAATGGTCACACGCTGCCTCCCAACCCCTTCTGCTTCCCTGCACCACAGCCTTTCTGCACAGGGGCCAAAGGAAGAACAAGCACTGCTGACTGGTAAGAACTTTTGTTTGTTTGTAAGACCATTCCCACCCAGGAACTTAAAACAATGCTCTGACAAATCCAGTTTACCTGAAGGAAGAGGGTTAAGGATGGGCAAAGGTTGAACATGCCACACACTTGGGTTGAATACCTGAAGGGGTGGATGTGTCTCATCACAGGAGCTGCTTATGCCTGGATGGAAGGGAATTGAGGGATTGCATCCTTACTGCCTGAAGACTGAACCTACCTGAAAGCAGAGGCAGGCTGGCTGTGTAAGAGAAATGCATTGGCCTCTTGCACAGTGGCACTGCACGGGGGATTGGTGACAGGCCCAGCTGTCTCAGCATGGAGAACTGGGAAGGTTTTGCGTGTAGCACTGGTGGGTCCTTTGGAACTGAAGGTCTGGGATGGGGAATGTGCAGCAGTGCCCCATTCCAGTGGATCTGAGCTCTGCAACCAGAGGCTCAGATCCCCAGCTGGGAGCCGTCCCTCACGGAGCGGGGCAGCGAAGGCTTCGTCCAGGGTGCTCCACTGAATGTTCATGTTCAGTTCCTCAAGGGCCAAGGGAGTTGGCCCACGCCTAGCTTTGGCTTTGGTGTTTGGCAGTAGGGAGGAAGGAGGCCTGGCTGAGAGTCCAAGCCCTTCAGAGCCTCTCAGGGTCCTCTCTGGGCTGCCAGGTGTTTTGTGGATGATGACACAGCCTGTTTATCAGTCATGGTGACTGAGGTCAGACATGACGCTCACCAGAGAAATGGAAGAGTGTAGCCAGGCTTTGTTTTCTCATGGGTCTGTTACCCACCACCAGAGCTTGTTTTCTTCCACCTTCTGTTCTAGCACAGAATCTAGCCAATTTCCTTTAAGTAATGTTATTTACCTACTAGCAAAATACATTTTCTTTCCTGGGCAGTTTTGAGCTGTAGCTCAGCAGTGCTTTTGCCCTGTAATGTTGTTTCAGTCCTAGAGACAGTCTGTGCTGTAGGTTCTACACTCTGACTTGCACCTGAATGTGCCCAAAGTGGGTCTGAGCCCACCTGGAATGTCTTTGTTCATCTCTGCTGACGGCATGGGCAGAACACTATGGAAAGGAGTTGTTTGGAGCAGATGAGACAGGGTGGGCAATATTCCCTTACCATGCTGAGGATAAAGTCCAGTGCCAACCAAACACAAGTAGAATGTGACTGGGGTGCTGTGAAGTGCTCTCACTTAGGCTGTTTAGTTCTAGAGGAAAGACCAGCAGATGCTCTGCTGCAGTGTCCTTTTGTAAATGTAGATGTTTGGACTGTATTACTCTCAACTTTATACTTCTCAGTGTTTGAACTAATTAAAAAAAAAAAGAGATGTTTCAGGAAAGATTTTGCAATGTGAGCCCTTTGTGAGATGATGGGGCCTGAAAACAGGAATGGTGAAGAGTTCTCCTTTAGGCAGACCCAACAGTAAGATTTTACTGCAGCTTATGAAAAACAGAAAGCATCAGAAAACTGGTCAGTCTAAATGTCAAAGCAGTGCTACTGCTGAATGAACTGCTCCTGCTAACACAGCTTGAATGGATAAAACTGAGAAAAGCAGGATTTCAGATGTAGGCTGTCCAGAATTAGTTGGGTTCTGTAAGCCATAACATTTGTTGTCATTGTTGTGAGTAAAGTGGGGTTTCAGTAAAAAATCTTCTGAATGCAGCACCTTTAGTCTGTGCTTGCTTTCGTGACACTGAGCCCAGGACAGTTCCCAGCACACGTGGAGAGCTCAGCAGCTTGGCTGCCAGGGACCTGGGGAGGGCCTGGGCTGCTCTGTCATCCAAGGCATTCCACAGGGACAGCACTGTGGGCTTTACTGAACTGGTGCCAAGTCAGCCACAGACCATCATCTTTCATGTCGGGACCGCAAAAGTCATTGAAACAAGGTTGGTTTTGACTGCATCTGGCCCTCATGTGAACTTGGCTTTGATGTGGTCTCTTTCTTTGAAGAGCTGGTGAATTGAATTTTTGTTTGGCTGTCAGAACTGTCCTTTTCATTATTTCCTTGCTGTTGGTGCACCAGGACGGGGGTACTGTAAACCAGCCATTGCTATCCTGGGCTCCTGGCACCAATCTCTTTTGACAATGTTTCTAACTTTGCCCCTTTCACAGTTCTCTTAACAGGAGACAGGTACCAGAGTTTAGGCCATCCCTCCAATAGGAGAAATACACAAGGAAAGGCGGGATGTAGCAATTTTACTGATTCCTATGGTATGCTGCAATTGGAGCAAGGTGATTTATATTGCCTAAGCATTTTTGGCTTTGGTTTAGGTCGATGAATAAATCAGCAGTCCATGGCTCCAGGAGAAGTGGCACTCAGGATTCCCTAGAGGCCTTGTGCTGGGAGCAGGGGCAGATTGGGCTCTTCTTCCCCCTCCTCCCCAGGCCTGGCAGTACCCAGTGTAACTCTGGGCCCGCCTGCTGTGGTGCTCTGCAGTCTCCCTCCTCAGCCCTGGCCAGAACACTGACAGCTCCCGAGCTCTGGCCCTGCACAGGCTTCAGCAGCAGAAATGCTGAAGGCGCGTGAACCTCCTCCCCTCCTCCCCTCAGCCAGGCAGAGAGCAGGTGAGGAACCGTCCCCTTCCCACTGAGATGGCCCCGAGTTACAGCAGAACAAGCGGGAGCCGCGGGGCAGCAGCGGCTGCTCCTGTCAGCCATTCCCCTCTGAAGGGTGAAAGCAAAGTCTGACATCAGCCCCAGGGCTGCAACAGCCATTTCTGTCCAGTAAGCAGAAATACTCCTGGACAGTTTTTCAGCTACATCACTGTCACTTCAAAGCAAAAATGTAGATGAAAAATAGTTTTTGGAAACTTTTTGTAATAAAATTTAGTAGTGGTGTGAAAATCAAACCCTTCCTCTCCTGTGACATTAACAGAAACATTCCTTTCTTCTACAAGACTCA